GGTTGAAAGTACAGCCACTGATTGGTCAGCAGACAATTACGCCACACGGCATGATTTGCATAAGACTATGGCTTGGGAATCACAGATTTGCATAATGTTATCGCTGGTGATCGCTAATTGGTCGGCTGGGAATCACGCCACATCACATTTGCATAGTGCTACGGTTCAGTAAGCACTAATTGGTCATCGAGCTCGATGTGGACACTATAAAAAGGTTAAGTTGAATGTGTCGCAAGGTGTTCTCTCGAACCTGTTTAGCGTATTGTTCAACAATAAATGTGAATTCGTCTTCATGGAAATATAAGACATCCCCCTGAAAATAAGACCTAGTGCATTTTTTACAGCAAAAATTAATATAAGACACTGTCTTATTTTCGGGGAAACACGGTAGTTAAAACGCGTTCTAACTAAAAACGGGTTTTGACTATAACATATATATATATATACATATATATAGCTTATATATTTCTTTTGTGACAATTACATTATAAAATCATAAAAAGCGAACAAATTGCTGCTATACAGTAATATTGAACGCTGTAATATACCAATTTTCTTAATGTATTTTATTTGCATACAGACATGTACTATATCAAACAACAAAGAATGTTATTTTCTGGTTTCTTCAAAAATCAAAACAATATTCTTAAATGAAAACATAAAGTTAAAATAATAAAGATCAAAACATTCATGATTTTCTTCTGTAAATTATTCCACATAAATATATTTTGAATATAATGTTATGTGCTAACAATAAAACTTAAATTCATACTTAATTAAAAATTTAAAATTTAGAAATAAAACAAGAAAACAGATAACATTATTTTATTCATTAAATTATTATTACCATGTATTTCAATTGACAAGAAATTTTTAATTGCTGAAAAACTTACATAACTCCCATAACATTAGGTCTTGTATCAGGCAAAGATGGAGTTCGTTTATATCCGTCCTGTAAACCTTTCACTTGCTCCAGTATTAATGCAACCTGAAATAAAACTTTTGATGCTATTACATGGAATATTTTGTAAGATTAAACATAATAATTCATCTGCTTAGATATAAAATATTTTCCGGAGACTACGCATAAAAGCTCAGACACAAGACAAGTAAAATTAAAACAATAATGAGAGTAAACGATTGCTCTAATCTTTGGCGACATAGATAATTAATAAAGGAAATTAGTTCGGACCATCTTTAACTTTGATTATCGTCTTAATTTTTTTCTAATGTGCATCGGCGTAAGGTGAATGTTACGTAGAAACTATAAAAATCCGCATTCTGATTATGCTGACAGTTTGTGTTAATACGTGTTATGACGTGTCATCATGTTACATCATGACACAGAAGATTTGAAAACATTGCTTCACATTGCTGTGTTGCCAGAATAGTTGTCATGAAACTCCAAAAGCCGGTGTCGCTCTTGAGTCTATGGTTGAACGTATTTATGTTTCTCTGAAAAACTGTTCGTTTGAGGAAATGGATATTATTCAACTACTGAATGAACTTGAAGAGGATGACATTTTGTTCCCGACGGTTGCAAAATTAGTGCAACATAATTGAAGAAATTAGTTACATTCAATAAATGCTGATGGGTCAGTATTTGATGAATTTCATCATCTAATCCCTCAACTTCTGGCCGATAAAGAGCAAGAGCGATGCTTAATTAAATGTTTCTGACAGCTGACGAAAATCTAAACGGTTCGATCTGCATGTTAAATGAGTATTACATGTTTTATCATGTAACACGTGGCAGCACACTGACTTATACCCATGTATCAGTCTACGTCAGTAGATGACACATTAAATTTACATAAATGCTGTGATAAAAATGTAAGAATCGGTTTTCTCTTTAACACTTCATAAAACGTAATAATGCGTGTTAACACAAATGTTAATGTAATCCGAATGTGGCCTAATAGAAACATTACGACTACGGTCAAAGAATTTAGAAAGCAAAAAACTATATTGTCATTTTGCTTTCTAAATTCTCACATTTAATCAAGTGTTTTCCTCGGTGTTCAATTTCAAAATTATTTTACAATTATTTACATTAAATACATTTTGATATATGAACAAGTAGGAAGAATAATGAACGTAAATGTAATTATTATACAGTATTTTAATATTGAAATTTACTTACATGATTCCAATAGAAATTTGTTCTGTTTCTTTCAATATTTTTATTCATGAAATCCATGTTTATTTGTAAGAAAGTCTTAAGTTTATCGCAGTATTCTTTTTCGTTTTTGCAATAGTTTAGATACAAATTGTTCCAGTGTTTAGAAATGAGATCAGTTGTTAAATATCCTTCGACCAAACCTGCGGCATAAGCTTGGAAAGAATCCGAATACAGTGGATTGGTGTGAACTTCCAAATACGACCATCTGCAAAAGTTATAAAAGTTATCGTTTATTCCGTAAACTGTAATCTAATAATTAATAAAAAAATTAATTTTAATTTTATAGACAAATTACTTATTAGATAATTTTCACTGTATTGTATACAAACATGTTGAATAGCTTTTATGTAAATATTCGATTTGAATCTCTAATGAAAATCTATACTAATATATTAAATTTTAATATAATTATATTTTTATTTTCGATAAACCATTACTAAAACTGAAAATACTAAGATATAGTATATAAAAATATTAATAGTATAAAATTTAAGACTTTGGCCTATATTTTGAATAAATAATTTAAAAATAACAATTCATTTAAATCTTTTTATTGAAGATATCTGCAACAACAGCCCTCAGGAACCAACCAATTACAGTAAATATTTTTATTTACTACTAGTCAAAATTTATTGAACAAATTGTAGAAGTACTACGCAGACATTTAAAAAATTAAAGAATTAAAACCGAGGTATCGTTTTATTTAATTATATTCATTAATTAAATAAAAATTATTACGTCATAGGCCTAAACTATAAACTATATACTGTAATACAATCAATTTCCTGACTGCGCGCACATAGAAAGA